ATGTCAGGCGAGAGCTATAATTACTGTCATACTGCTAAGGATTAAAAGGTACTGTACCTGTTTTTTACTGTTTGATAAATGTCAAAAACAGAACTAGTTCATCTGAACCTGTTTGCAGTGGTCCAAAATTATTCTTCACAAGCACTGGATTTATTCACCTTGATGAGTTTATGAGCACTTTTGACAACTGCTTATACAATATATCTGTACTGGGAGAAGACAAATTTGGCTTGGGAAAGAAATTGGGTACAGGCTCTTTAAGATCTTCGTATGTGTTTCATAACAGTCATTTCTTCATGTTGACTGCACTGAAACTGAAAGTGTTACGGTCTATAGCGTTTTTTGTAACTTACTAAATGCATTCAAACGTATAGAAGGTTGCAGATAAATATAGTCTACCAGACTAGACATTCCCATCACCAATTCATACCAATTAGAGGTGGACATTGAAATATTGATAATATCAGGGATGTAGTTTTATGTTGTATGCTGTAAATATCCAATGTCTGTGGGTAATTTACAGTGATTTCACATTTGTCATAACAATCATCTGAAAAGCTTTATGTGGATGGAAAAAAAAAAAAAAAAAAAGATACTCACTTCAGTCAATATTACTCAGCCCTTCTGCAAATTGTGGTAAATCAGTGTCAAATTGTGTGTTAGTGGCATAAATTAGTTTCAATATTATAGTTTATTGTCTATATTTACTTGACGGTCCTGTGTGTCCACTCACGCTCTGTCCATGATGTGTCCCTGGGCTGTTCAGATCTATTGGCTGCATGTCATCTGGATTGCTCTGTTGTGGTATTTCTAGAAACAGTTAGCAATTTCCACAGTGACAAACAAAACACTGACCGGAGCAGAATGCCCTTTCATGCTGTAAACATACATGTAAATGCATGCACATATTTTCACTGCTTTAAAATGTGTTGTCCTGTTTCAGCACTAGCTTGTAGACATGGTATGACAGTATAGATGTCAAAAGTATTGAAAATCAGATACTAATGATACAAAACAATATTAAAACTAGCATTGTAACTAGATACTCTTTTGAACTAAGCCACATTCACAAGACAGAAATTAACCTTCAGAATGATCTTGAGCTGTGTCAGAACAAGTATAAGACTACAAAGACTAGTATTCACCCATGGACCACTGTGGAACCAACTTGTACAACTGAGAGTTTACACGGATATAAGGCCACAAGGTAATATAAAAGAAAGCACCACCATAACAAATTTTGCTATACTGCTACAGAAAAATATTGGGATAAACAATATTTAAAGTAATAATCCAGATAAACAATTTTAAATATGTACAAATTAAAGACATGAACTGCAACAAACAATGAACCAATAATGAATGAACCAATAATTAGCAATAGTATGCCCTAAAATATATTGTTTCGGTTATCATCTATTGAACGACAAGTCAGTAGTAATGATCGTGACACACCTAACAGCACCAAATATTACTCCATAGAAAACGTACATCACTCCATGTCAAGCAGACACAAATTGAAGCTATTCTCAGCTCCAAAGTCTGCTTCACCAATATTGAAAAACTGTCTGTCCCTCTGAAGTGCAGGTCCTAAATTGCCAAGACACAGATTAAAAATATAATGCCTTTGTTTACTACAAACATTGCAGCGGAGCCCTTGGAAAATGTTGAGATGAGTTACTATAACAGTTAAGCTCCATAAACTGATGCAACTTGGATCTTTATGCATTCCACGGTAAGATTAATTGATTAACTATAGATTACATGGGTGGACACAATATGGACCAACACATCAGTCATTGCATCTGACATCAAATGCATTATGAATTCCTAAATCTATCTATCTATCTATCTATCTATCTATCTATCTATCTGAAAGTTAAAAACAAAGAAAACAGATGCTTATTTCTTTGACTGTTGTTTTTATTGCATATTGTAAAGGACCTTGACCACCATATAGGCTGTTAGAACATGCTATATTAACAAACTTTGAGTGATTAGTTCATTGCCTCATCTCCATAGCTACAGAAGCATTATAAATACATTACCTAATAGCAAAACGTGCATTAAATTTGAAAATCTTGTTACTGGTTCTAGCAGAGCACATAGGTCATGTAATTTACAAAACGTTTACCACAGGATCGAAGCTTTTCCTACTGTCCAAATCAGCTATTACAAGATAAGCCAAAACCTTTTACTATGCAGAGAAATTGCAGGGTTGCACTAGAAAAAAATGCACAAAATACCTATATTCTGAACAAATATAGAGGAACAGGCTTGATACAAACATGCTGATGGGGAAATTCCAAACAGCAATAATCAGAATCAAACAGAAACTGAATCAAAACGCCTAACAGAAACGAATTGCTACATGTGGCAAATTATTTGTCTTGGGGGCCTTCAAAAGCATCTCACATCAAAAGGTGCCCAGCAGTTATTTGTTACAAGAAAATAACAGAATCTTTGTCCCTTGCAGGTGTTTACTGTGCCATGTATGTGCAGTGGTCAAGAATGAACAGTGAGTCCAAACAACACAATAGATAGATTATAACCTACAGGGTGCTTGACATTTCAACTCATAAATGAGCTTACCAATGTTTTGTCTGTGAGCAAGATACATTATCATTCACACAAGAGAAGAAAACCAGGTTAAGGTCGTCTTTGCTAATAGGTTAGAGCTGAAACGCTGCAGCACAGGGAACCGGCGGCGCAGCAGTCTGGTTCACTGACCTCTTTTGCCTGAGTCCCCGTGGAAACCCGGAGGAGGAGGAGGTGGGTGTCCATGTATCCAGTGTCCTATCGCACTTTAAACCAATCAGTGTAATTACAGCCCGTGTATCACACTCATACCCTCCATCGCGCACACATCACCTCACCGTAGCGCAACAAAACATCCCCAAGCTACGCAGCACTTTCACTACTAGACTGCCTTGTGTTTCCCGCTAAAACTACTGATTACTACTCCCTATGGATAAAATGCAAGGTTCACGTTGGACCTTTGACGTGACTTTCGCTGTTTATTTACCTGTGCAATGATCCACCACCGCTGCGTTGAGCTTCTTATCGCCGGTATAATAGCTGAGTAACGGGATTAGTTTTGACCCGCGGAGACGACCTGAAACAAGGCTCTACTTTCTTCTCGTCTTCTTTGTCTTCTCTTGTAAAGGTGCACCTCGTTGAAAGCGTGTTTGCACCTCGTTAAAAACCGTCAAATCGCGGAAACAACGGTATTACGCGCAGGGAGATGGGGTGACATTGAGGGAGAGCTCTTTTTACGCGCCAGCTTTTCCAACCGGCGGTGCGTCCCTCCTCCTTTCTCTTCCTCCTCTTCCCCTCTTCTCTGTCCTCGTGTTCTCCCTCTATCTCTGACTCTCTCACTCTTTTTTTTTTGGAGCCACGCGCGCTGAATAATGCAGGTCCCCGGAGTGCTTTCTGTCCTGTTCCACAGACAATCACATTGAGCTGAGCGGAGGATCACGTTACTCCCTGCAGCCTTCCATTCATTTATTCAGGGCTGGACAATCTGTGTGCGACTGTGGCCCCCTTTCTCTGCCTCACTGCAGCGGGACCAGGGGGACGTGCACTTTTGGGTAGCTTAGCATTTAGCATTTCAGGCTATTTTTGGGTAAGTTTGAGCTGCCTTGCTTTTCCTTGCAGGCCAGTGTTATAAAAAGCACCAACAATATATAAAAAGTTAGGAACAGCACAGCCACATGATGCTGAATGATTTCCTGGTTCAGCTCATTTTGAAAACTGGAGAAAAATCCAAAAGTCTCACAATCAGTCAATGCCCAGAACATCATTTGCAGTTTCCATTTGTGTATCCCTTCCCAACACTGCTTGAAGGTGCACAATGTAGCCTAAGGTTTCTGATAAGGGGTTGGCCACTTATCTCTTCTGTTAGGATGTCCTGAAATGTTCTACAGTATGGCTTTAAAACTTATCTTTCTCCATGGAGACAAACAGGTCACACTAAAAGCATATTGTACTTGAAATTCTTGATCTTTTATCTACTCTCTGTTTTTATTGCTGTTATTTGCAGTTGCTATGTTATGAGTGACTTTAAGCAACTGTAGCACTTTGAGATTTGTTTTTCAAATGTAAAGCACAATATAAATAAAATGTATTATTACCACAAGGTCAAGGAATCTGTGGAGAGGCAAACCCACTGCAAGAATGCTACTTGTACCTAAAAATGCACTTGCAGTTGATTGCAGAAAAGATAGATACTAACATGGAAAAAAAACAACTCCAACATCTCCATGGAGACACACACCCAACCAGAAATGTTCCATAGTGCCAGTTTAATAAGACACATTTTACTCATATAATTTCTAGATTATATAAAACTTGGACTAATTGAGCTGCAAACAAATTGCACAAAAAGAGAATTGCTGCCTGTTTTCACTTATAAATCAACTACTTGTTAAATTATTTAACAGAATAGATAGTTAGATATTTCATCTATTCCAACCTATTCTACTGGGTTTGCAAAAACTCTTTCAATTGATTCCTTGACTGGATTAGGGCTGCACAATATATCGCAAAAGTATGTGTATCATACCACAACACTGACTAACACAGTAATCAATATCACCATGCACTGCTTTTTAAAAATAATGTATTAAATAATTGTTTTTTTTATTTTCACTATTAAATTACAGCATGTGTTTTTTGTTTTATAATAACTCAGTCAAAAAGCATATTAAAAGATCTCAATAATATCAATATCTCAATTCTTAACAGTCATATTTTTCAATACCGTGCAGCCCTACTGGATATGCATACAAAACAGATTATGTCTTTCACTATAACAACCAGAGAGAGAGTATTTGAAAGGTAAGGTTATAGTGCTACTAATCAAAAAGTGACCGACCTAATGGACAATTTCACAGTGTGGACACCATTTTATAGTTCCCCTCTCCTCCCACATTGTCCTATTGTGTGGGGGCTTCACGCTTTCATTCAGAAACATACTTTTCAAAACCTGATAGACTCACCGTGGCAGTGTGCGGGTGTCCGGTCAGAATGGGTGCTTCACATCCATTTGCTGTTGTCACGGTAACGCCTGATGATGGGATGTAGCCTATGATAAAACATAATGAATTATTCTACCATTTTTGTACTTTTCCACAGCTGTCATTGCAGGTTCTATGTGATTTCTGTATACACTTTAATGCATGGAGTAATTTGTGTTGTACAGTTCTGTCTGTAATTGTGGTTCATTGAAAAGGGGAGTTTGAAAAGCAGGGGGGAGCGTGTAATCTTCTAAAATGTAAGCTTGCTCTAAATGCATTGGCTGGTATTCTGACGAAACCTGCTGCCTTATATTATCTTGTATTATCAATGCACAACAAACTTCACAGACTGGTACATTAGATAACAGGCTGATGTACCAGTCTAAATGTTATTGGTTAAGCTAGCCATTAAAAAGCTTGCGGAATGCATGATGATAATTTGCAGGACTTGATACTGTTATGTAATGAAGACAGTTTTGCATTCCTAACAGATTGAAGAGTCCTCGGTTGTGAAATCAACGTGTGAATATTCAGCTGGTGGAGTTAAAGGCTTTTGATAAATATATGAGGTCATGGTAGCAAACGTCACGTCACATTTGTCCTTCAGTGATTGATAACAAGATTAGTGTGATTTAATGGAAAAAGATTTGGCTTAGAAATACGGTATATTCACACAATTTAAGCAGAGTATTTGGTTACTTTTTTTAAGGTGCACTACATCTGACTTTTTGGGCAAAAGGTACACCCTCTGCTTGTTCCATGGATGTTATTCCCTTGCCTGGAATGTTCCACAGTATGGCATTAAACCTTAGCCAGGCTGGCGCCACCTAGTGCCTCTGCTCAATTTCATTTCTCTCCAGCGACCAGGTCAGTAATCAGAATACAATAGACGGTTCTCAAAAACCCCGGAAGTACAAGTTCGGGCACCAGCCAATCATCGAAGAGTGATATATTCAGTGTTGTCAACGATTCCCAAGAGCGAGGATTTAAAGCCGGAACAAAGAGAATGTTTGGTGAATTTTATCAAGGGGAAAGACGTTATTGCCCTTCTTCCTGTGGGATTTGGGAAAAGCTTAATATACCAGGTAGCCCCGTTAGTGGCACATTACATACGTCACGACCAAACAGCAGCGATTGGTTAAATGAAAAAAAGTACTCGCCTACCGTCGAGTGAACACTGTGAGTTGACGGTTTCTACAAAGAGAAACTGGCTGAATCAGGCTAATTAAACCTACTTGCGAGTGAGGACACCAGGGCAAGTTACAGGTCAGATCTGGGGAGATGCATCACTGCTCACATGAAGAATGCATAATTTCATAGGTATTTTTGAGCAACAAAAGCACTTGTATTTTAACAAATGTTTGATCGCTAAGTTTAGTGCTATACTGTGGAATATTGTAGGCAAAACAACAGTATATCCCAGGAGACAAGGAGAAATGTTTTCACATTGTGCAAGCAATATGCCACAGTGCCACCAAGTACTGCTGTATGGAGAATCATTACTGTATACTCTCTATGTGTCAGTTAATTTTAGAGGGAAAATCAATATTGGAGATCTACAGAATGGTTGGAACAAGTTATGCCAGCTACACAGGTACAGTTTCAAAACTCACAAATTTTGTAGAATTACTCAGCTCTTTCAGGCCAAATAAACTCTGTATTTTCTGGTGACATATCCAACCCCAGTCAGATCCTGTGCGCAGCCTACAGACATGTGCTTGTTAGTGGGTAGTAGTATCACAGATAGAGATAGCTTATGATGTGTTTGGTCCGCAGCCAATGAAAAGTGAATGTTAGGGAGAGATGGAAAGAACAACAGGCAGGAGACAGCAGGGCACTGGAGAAGTCTGCTTTATTTCAAAGACAGAGTGAGTGATATATATAGAGAGAGACACAGTAGAAAATGGCTCCTTATCATAATAACAGTCCATACAACCACAAGGGCAGGCAGACAGGAAGAACAGAGACCCCTACAGACAGGTAGAGGTACTGCAAGACTGGCAGTGGGGCTAGTCAACCATGTTTTCACATTACACACGAAAAAGCCCAAACTATGTTGATCATTAGCCCTGATATTTAAAAAATGAACAAACTTAAATAAACGTTTGTAGGGTAAAATGTGATAATAGCTACACTTTAAGTGGCCTGAATAAAGCATGAACAAAGACTTAATAGACTTAAGAGTCATGCTTAGTTACTCCTTAATACACTAATCTTAATCTTAATCATTCATAATAATCTATTTTCTCATTATGAATTAAGTCTGTTCATGTTTTACTAGTTCTACTTAAAAGTCCTATATTACGCAAAATTGACTCTTGTGAGCTTTATGCTATATTATAATGTTACCTAATCAAAAACATACCCAGAGTTGTGATTTCCTTAATTCACACATGTTTGAGTAATCCATTATCACTCTGTCTACGTCCCCAAGGCTTCAAATGCTCTATTTCACCTTGTGATGTCATGAAGCGATAGTTTTCAAATTAATAGCTACGTTTTATCTTTAGTTAAGAGCAGACTGACAATTCTGGAGCTGAAATGATCCAAATTATTCTAGTGAAAGTGTATGAAGTTTAAAAACACAATAGAGCACTTTATTTATTGTCACATGACATCACAAGATGAACAGAGTTTTCAGTTGGAGAGAAGAAGCAAAGGAGAAATTTAATTCTATCAACTGGACATAAGTTTTTTTTTGTTTTTTTTTTAAATCAAATACATTCCGTAACTCATCTAAGCTGCTTCGTGCTGGTGGACACTGCTTTATACATGCCTGAAGGGAGGAGCTAACTGCACAGTGTAGTTAGTGTAGTGTTGTCCACCTGACAGAACTGAATTTCTCTTTTGGTATGGATACTTCTAGGACAACTGATCGATTTCACAAAGAATTTGAAAGAAGAACTCAACCTAAATATGCAGGATTTAATTGTTAAACACTTGTGAATGAAACAAAACACAAGTCCAAGTTGGTTTTTGATGAGGAAACAAGCTTATAATATAGATAGGAAATAGTGTCATTTGGACCCATTAAAGTCTAGTTATTATAAAGTGGTACTGTTTGAGTTAATCTGATGTAGAAACGTTAAGTAAGTGCTTCTTGCCTCCGCATAAACTTTGGGGTAATGTAAAATTGTCTAAAGTTTACTTGTAAATATTTGAATACAAAATTCATGCACACAATTATTATGGCCTACACAGGACAGAGACAGAAAACAATAAAATTTAGTGTGCCCTGCCAAATTTTGGTGTATCACAAATTCTTTTACAGTGTTTTGGTTAAGCATATTGACAGATAAGGACCAGACAGAATGCAAAATGAATAGTATGTGTCAAGAGAAAGTGTGGCGTTTGTGGAGAGAGAGCAAGCGTGTTAAAGTCATTGATACCATGCAGTTCATTCTTCTGGAGATGTCTTGAGGAGCAGCAGCTATCGGGTCAGTCAGTGCAGTGGTCAGCAGAGGGTTAAACTGTTGGACTGGGTTAATGTGAGATTACACACAGCAAAGAAGAGAAGTTAGTCAATCCAAATAAACTCACACATGTGTACAACATTGTACCCATTCTAATCTCAGTTATGCCTATGATTGGAGTGGTGAAAAATTAAATAATTTCTATGATTCTATATACATTTATATTCTATACACGTGGTCAGACCTCTGGCCTGGCTTGAGCCAGTCACACAGCCAGCAGGACTGACTGACAGCAGCAGTGACCAATATCAGCCCTGGGATTTAAAGATCAAAATAAAAGTGATAATGTGCACTTTTTACTCTTGATAGTGAAACTTATTTAGATCATTCTGATCTTATATGAGATGAAATGCTATTGAAAAAGAGGTTGACAAGAAACGTTTGTACTTCAGCCTTGTGTTTTTGAGTTCATTTATAAATGTATATTGAAATATTAGATATCATTGAACAGACACTGCTAGATGCTTTACATTTCATAATGAACACTGAGCCTAACAGCTTAGTGAAGCTTTTTTCATTTCAAAAGGATCTAAACTCTTTCAGAGGGAGACACTGTGGGCGGCTCTATTTGAGATGGTTTAATGGTGACATGCTGTATCATTAGCACCTTTATAAAGTAGGCCTGACTCTGATCATCGCTTTGCTGGCAGTGTTTGTTGTTTTGGAGCATATTATTCTTATAATGGCCTTGTATGAATTTCAAAATCCTCACTTAAACACTGGGTGTTAGGTAATCTTAGAGGTGCCCAGGCTGTGCGTTTTTTGTATGGCTGGTAGTGTGTTCTCATTAAGCTGCCGTGGCTTCCTGTGTTTACAAGGCTTAGTATAAGAACAGTTGGCTTTAAGGAGCATTGGCTCCTGACTGTTCCTTCAGCTCAGAGAGGAACTACTAAAATAGAAGGAAGTGGAATAGCTGGAATTGATAGAGGGAAAAAAAACATTTGAGAAACAGAAGAGGGGGCTATTGGAAGTGAAGTCAAGTTACTATCAACTAGAATCAAACCTCAGGTTCCCATGGCATCGAAACAATCCAGTGGTCTTCAAAAATAAAATAACTAAATCTAAAATAAACTCTACAATAAATCTCAATCTGAAGTTATACTATGTTATTCTAACTATGTGGAAGAATAAAGAGGCACATAACGAAACCAAGGCAACAAGTCTCCTCTCCGCTGTGGCCACAGTCTGCATCAGGAGGAAGTGTGTGAAGATCTAACACCTGTGAAGACTCTCCTTCATCCAGGTTTTCATGTACTCAAGACAGTAGAACAAGAGCATCTCCTGCATGAGGAGGATCTTATCCCGAGATGCTAACATCTTTATACATTACATCTAATTACGTGTGATGAGTGTTTGATTGTCCTTAGAGCAAAAGTGTTAGTTTAACATCAGAGTGGCTGACTGTCCATAGTCCTGGACCACTGAGAATGGACCTGGTTTAAGCTGTTTGTGCACTGTGCCCTAGAACCACCACATGGTCCTGTGCACTCAACATGAAAGATATGGATTGAGCAGACACTAGGCCTGGTGACAAAGATGGAGGTGTGAGTCAAAGGCCAGACAGTAGAGTATAACAGCCACTCAGTCTGAGCAGAGGGAGGCAGGGCTCAGTTAGTAACCATCCAGACAGAGGAGAGGGGCAGGGTCATAATAAAAAGGGAGGGGAGAAGAGTCAGTCACATGAGGATGCAGCACTGGCAGCGTTTCCTCTTGTCTGTACCTGTGGGTGGGGTCAGGCCGGGGGGCGGGGCTGTGGCTTCCTGGTTGGCGTTGGGTGATGAGGCTGAGTCTGGCTCGCGCCCCTCTGAGGACAGTTCTGTGCTGACGGCTTCAGACGTGGCGGGACGTCCTGACACCAGATCTGCTGCTGTTCCGTCTATGGCGGAGATATCTGTGACTGTCTTCTCCCGCAGAGACTTCTCATCATCTTCATCGATCAGAACCACTTCCGCCTTCACCGCTCCATCAAAGCCCAGCAGTCTGCGACTCTCACTGGTGTCCTCCACATCCTGGTATCCCAGAAACACCATAGTGACCGGGTGCTCCGTGGACACCTGGGGGTCTGGGCCTGGTTGTGCACCTGGCTGAGTAGTGATAGGAGCAGAGGTTGGGGGCATCATGCCCAGTTGTGGCTCCCTCTGCAGGGTGACCTGTGCTGGGGGGCTGGAGGGGATAGAGGGTGGGGCGCAGGAAGGGGGTGACAGGTCATCATCAGCTTGAGGAGGTTTGGCTGGAGCAGGGCTCACGGTCACATGACCCCTCATACTGTCTCCTCTGTGGATGACCGGCCGAGCAGCCTGCTGGATGAGCTGCTCCACTTGACTGGAGCTCCACCCGTTCTCCATGGTGGTGGTAGACACCGCCCCTGAGGAGGTCACCTCATAGACCACCTTCTTCCCATCATCATAGACTTTGACCCCACGGGTGGCTGCTTCCGAGGGGCTTACACGGCTGGCTGACAGAACACGCTGCTCCCCGGTGTGAGGGTCACGCTGTACGTTGATCTCCATGGCAAACATTGCTGTTAGGAAGGGACAGGGAGAACAGGGAGGAGGGTGATGGGTCACAAGGGTGGGGTGTTAGAAACAGTGGAGGGGAAGGGAAGGATGTGAGGGTTTGGGGAGAGAAAGTGGAGGGAGTGAACCGTGAGGATGAAACACAGTGATCTCAAAAGTTATATGAATTGAGATTTCAACTAAAACATTAATTAAATATGCTATAAAACACAGATAAAAGGAATCCCAAAGTTGTCAATGTACTATTCTAGCTATGACAGACACTGACTATATAGAGGTAGTTAAATAAACAGTAGCCTTTCATTCCATTGTCCAAGACCTGGCAGCCATTTACAGCTGGCACATGTTTACGCTGACTGCATGTCTGTATCAAAAGCTGTCCACAGTTGTTGTGTAAATGCCATTTGTCTTTTGGATTTGAACTGAAATTTCAAATGACCTCAGATGAACTTAAGAAACATCAAGTACTGCACACATTTTCAGTCAGGACTTCTAAAAACTTACTTCAGCACAGTTCATATACCTACAGGTGGATGTTAGTTGTTAAATGAATTAGTTAAATGGAAATTGTGTTTCCTCAAACATAGCAGACGTTTTTATATACTACACCAGGCATATAGTGTAAAACTCCCCTGTACAGTAGGTCTGAAAACTAAGTAAACTTCTTCCCACCTGCTTCTACAATAAATAACTATCGATTCATAGCAAACAAATATTTTAAACCTCCTCTAGTCTTGGTAAATAAGAATCCCCACCCCCATTCACTTGATAATAGCACATGTCATGTCCTGTAATAGTCTATCTTGGCTTGTGTCCAGAATATAGTGTCCCTGCCCCCCCCCTCTCATGGGTGCCCCCCACCTTACCCCTCCTCCCAGGTACTTACCAGGTCTGGAGGTGGCGTGCTCTCCAGATGCTGGCGGGCCGGTCCGGACAAGCTGCTCTACGCTGGGGTGGCCGCGGTCCGACATGCAGCCTGTAGCATCTAGTGAACCAGAGCAAACCAGCACATGTTCAGAGTCAGGTTAGAGGGACACACATTCACACACACTCGCGCGCACACACAAACATCTACACACAAGCGCGCACACATTTACACACAAGAACACACAGAGAGAACAACAGGCATGTCCTGCTACAAAAAACACACCTACAGACTCCACCCACTGGGACGCTCAGTTTAGTTGCTGGAGACAAGCAACTAATGCACCCAAACAAGTAAATAAATAGTTGATATGGTCACATTGCCAAAATTTTAGTTTGTGTAGTTTACCTAAATATTATGTTAAAAGTTAAATGCATAATCTGGTGAATTTTTATGTGCTATGGTGTGCGTTACATGTGACAACACTGAAAAAATAACCAAACAAACATATTGTATACTAATTTCAATTCAATGCACTGTAAACATTTCTGGTGAAGCAGCTGGCATCTGCTTAACTTCATAGAGATGTTATTGCTTCTCCCTGGAATGTTCCACTATATGGCATTAAACTGATCCATCTCAACGGACACGGAAACAAGAAGATGCCACCGGGCAAGTTGCAGGCAAATATGAGTACATGTTTTTCAAGGTATTTTTGCAAATCAGTCGGAGAACCACTGAACAGAAAACGTTATATACAGTGCTAAGCACATAGTGGAAAAAAACTTTATTTCCTTAAAGTATTGTAAATAAAAATGTCAATATAAAGCAATATTCAAAATTAAATTTAAAAAGCAATTTAAATGAAAGTATTAAAGAAAATAAATTAGGCTAATTGAAAATGTAAAAAGATGAAAATACATAGTACCCCTAAGAATCTGTATACATTAAGTGAAAATAAACCCATAATGAAGCCCACCCCAACATTTCACCAATATCAGAGATGAGTTCTGCCGGTGCCCCATAGTAACCGGCCAGTGCAGTGCTTATGCAGCAGTAGTGGTCCTGTGCACTGTGTATGTGGTTGTATTGAGTGTGCGTTTGTGAGCGCAGAGACAAAGCAGAGGGGCTTATGGGGGTTTCTCTGTGAATGGAGCAGGATAAAGACTGCTACAGCGGCTGCAGCGTCATGACCTTGTGTGCTTCAATAGCCTCGCTGAGCAGCAGTTAGCTTCTGTGTGTGTATGTGTGTGTGTCTGTGCGTGTGTGTGTATGAGGGGGAGAGGGGAGGAGGGGTACACACTGCAGTCTGTGGGTGTCACATAGGGGGAGGTGGGTGTGGCTTTGGAGGTGCACACTCTGTGTTGAGTGTCTCTCCTGCCTCAGCGAGACTATTATTCAGCTCACACACGGCCACTCATATAGATGGGGTTGAAGCACTGTTGTATATATCTACAAGAGTGGTTCTTATTTTCACATACTAGAAAAGATTTTGCTGTCAGAATATCACCAGATTTTAATTCAGTCTGAAGCATGACGTAGGCCTATTGCACCAAAACTTTGCCTGGCTGTCTGTCCCTCCTAGCCATTAATCTATTGTAGCATGACATCTCTTAATTGTGGAAAACATGCCCTCTGTTTTATCATTATTTTATTAAGACATAATACTGTTTTTGTGTGTGTTTTGTGTTGCCACTATGTTTATTTTTTCTTTTCTTTTTTTTAGCTGTAAGACTCCATGCTTTTTTTAGACACAAACTGATCATACGTTGCTTTGTCCATCAATTTGCGAGGACAAGTTCTGAGTGTTTGTATGTATTAGAAAAGTTCATAGTCCAAGCTAGAACTTGCCATCAAACTATACCATAACAAACCATATACTTGCAGAAGTCAAGTACAATAGTAGCACCTGTTGCACAGTTTCGCCAACACTGAGCTACTGAATGAATAACCTGATGCAATTCATTTCACAACCCATTCATACTTGAAATTACTTAATAACATGTAATAGACTCTGTGTTAGGATTATCAATACACTTTCTCTGCACATGTTATCCTATGCTAAACTGCAACACGTCTGCCATGCAATAACATGTACTGCGGTCTGATACTTGTCTATACTACTCACTGGCACAGTTGTTACTTAATTTTCTTAATCAAGTGTGATTCATACCTCCATCCTGGTTCATCAGACTCTGAAAAAAAAGATAGAAAAAAAAAAATTTGAACACTGATTTAATAATTCACAGAAATGTAAACGTTTCAGAAATTAGGCCGGGTTACACATACAAAACAAATTCCCATGTCCTAAGAGCCACGTAAATGTTGGAAGTAGTCCAGTTTTCAAATATTAATCTGAATAATGAGATAATATATTGATGAACTCTAACTGTAATTCACTTTCACTTTGCTTTAGAGAGTCATCAGTCATCAACATAATAAAATTCATTTATTTATTCTCCTGATTGTTCCAGTAAAATATATTGTTTAGGTCACCTTCTGCAGGTCCTCGATGGAGCGCTCTGTCTCTTTTAGCCGCTCTCGTAGAACCTGCTCTTTGGCCGATATCTGAGACTCTTCACTTTCGAGAGCTTCTATTTCAGATTCCAGTCTGAAAACACAATACACACACAACATAATTAGCATAACACATTTTGTTTGCATCCATTCAACATACATACATTTACAAACACAATATCTGATTACTGAGTGTTTGACAAAATATTGATACGGATATGGTATTTGATAAGGAAATAATAACTACTGCTAGCTGTCATGAGCCATGTATTGCATAATATTTTGAATGATTACTTTAAATTATTAATAAATGACTAGTATTTTCACCTTAATCTTCAGATATTATTAAATTACCACAACCAAATATTGCAAGCTTACACTTTTTACACTCTGCTGTTGCGCGCTTCGAGTGTTGACTAGAACCATCCACCGCATTTCCTAATTAACATTTTAAAAGCAAGCTCAGAGTAAAGACACAGCTAGCTCGTCTCCTGGACTTTTACGATATGGATGTGACAACAATAGTAGGAAGCAAATTGTGGGAGGAGGACCAGGGCTGCTTCCTCGCTCACCGCCAGAATCCCACTTCAGAAAGCACTCCTTCGGGACGCCAGGAATGTGTGCGTCACTGCGCCATACTGAACCTCCTAGCCACAGCATAAACAAGAGGCATTCCCACATCATTCTAACATGGAGTCATCGATATTAGTAAATAAACAAAATATTCTTAGAAAGCGTTTCAACTGAATGGGAAGGAGCAGTGCATTTGTCTTGTAGATGTTAAAGTGCATATGACAGGTTGGACTAGTCATTTCACTAAAACATATCTTACATAATTCTATTGAAGATTTTAAAATTAATTAATTAATTAATTCATTCATTTATTATTTTTACTTCCTGGTTGGACACCGCAGTAGATATAACATAGAGGTAATTCTATAGTTAGCAACTATACTGTAAAAAATCAAAAGGTCAAATGTGTCTAAATTATACAATAGTTTACAAAATTATTACAAAAAAATAAATGAAGAAACTTTTTATTTTGTTAAAGGAATATTTTAAGTGCATTCTGTATTGAATTTTCATTGTAGAAATATTCCAATTTAGAACTCAGCCCAACTTCCTGTATTTTTGTATTTTGTAACGTTTTTTTCTTAACTGCCTCTAAACTATGATAAGTATTGACCACATGTACTATCCCATCAAACCAAGTAAAGAAAAATATAAAAAGATCTCATATGCACTTAAAGATATGAAATGAATTTGCTATTGCTATGTGTTATTTATATCCAAAACAATGGGCGCGTCCTTGTTTGAAGTGGTCCCAAAAAATAGTGCTTTAAAATGTATAAAGTAAACAATGGATCAAAGTACCTCAAATGACCTCTGATGTATTATCTGGACAAAAATACACACAAAAATTATCAATCAATATGGAATCTTGTATTCTTCCAACATTAGACAATTCAAGGGTACTTCTATTTAAAACAGAGGTTATTCAAACAAAAGAGTGACATACTATTCATTGTTTCAAACTATGCAGGGTGATTCATTTAGAGCTACAATGCCTCGGTTTCTAAAATAATTTAGTTATTTGGTGGATTTTTATGCCAGATGCCCTCCCAGTCTCAAAAACAGAGTGGATATAATGCCAAAAATGTAAAAAAAAATTGTTTCATAATATATTTAAAGTAACTGGATATCCCAAATATGCATACCAAATGTCATGGCTATTACTTGAAACATAACAGAAGAATGTGGCCCTGTGGTAAAAATGGGAAAGGTACAAACCCAAGGAACATCAACTGAAAATACTGAAAGTCATAGGCATAGGGCATAATGTAATTTTAAAGATATTTCTTATGATGCTGTGAAGTCTAAGTGTTTCTATTTTTACTACACACTATTGCAGTTCTATATTTGTTAGATTCAAAAATAATTTCTTATATCTGATACACCCAAAAATACCATACAAAAAATCAAGCCATCAGTAATTGCGTTTAAAGTTTAAAAGTTGATTTGTAGAAGTTTGAAAGTTATTAGTAAAAATCAGTAAAAAGAATATTTGGTTCCCCCTCTCTGGCATGTCGTGGTCACTCCCGTCAGGCGATACTTCATGTCCTTGTTTGGTCATGGGTTGTAGCGTGTCCTGTTAGCTGCGTGAGGCCCGAGCAGTATAAATTTGTAACAAGATTTACAAACGGACACACTTTTCCCTTCTGAGTAAGAATCAATGCACAGTGCAACTTTACATCAATTACGTATGGTGATTAGTGCAAGTTTTGGGGATGTTATTGGGAATTATAATGGAAGACTGATGTTGCCAACTCATTTTGACAACTACTACAACTACTACGATCAATATACTACTACTACTACAGCTTTGAATATTTAGATATTTTTGACAATTTTGAATTCATTTTTATTTATATCATTTTTATACCGCTACAACAACTGCTACTATTGCTACACTTCAACTAGACTACTCCTACTACCATTTTGAGATTCTCCTTCATACTATTACTACTACTTTGAATGTACTGCAGTACTTGAGACTTTATTCGTTCTACTAATAGAACTGCCTGCATCCTGTCATATTACTTTGAAGCTACAGTGAACCACATGTGTCCCTCCAACTATTTTCAAAACAGCTACATATGACAGCTACATTTGGCCAGTGCATATGGCTCCCTCTGGTGGTACTACTCATGAATACAAGTAGTAAAGCGACAACAGAAGAAACGTGTGGTTAGTTTATTTTATGAGCTGCTTTCACTGTTCTGATGCACGATACAAGGATTAAGTCGACACAATATTGGTTTTACACACACACACAAGTAATGGCTGCTTTTCATACAAATGTGAAATATCCATTTTCTACATGCATTTTCAATTTCTGGCACCTTATTTTGTTGTTTAATATATAGTTTAACAGTTAGATTATGACTAATAATATTTTAGTACAATATAAAAAGAAAATCAAATGATCAGAATCAGATTTGTTTATTAATGAATTCAGGTTGAAATTAATGTACTCAAGAGCAAAATATAAAATCATACAAACAAAAAGTCTAAGTCTATTTATGTCACTCCAAACAAGGAAGCCCTATTGGGTTCGTATCATTCCTTGGTTTGGTGGGATATTTCTGATGTATATCTATCATAGTTTTACTTTGAAAGCCATTTTGATACTACTACTTTGAATATACTGCAGTACTCTTGAGACTTTTTGTCCTACTCCAACTACTACTCCTTGTCTGTCTCTTGTCATTATTTTGAGGCTGAAGTGAACCTAGATGTTGGTTTACACAACTACAGCTAGATTAAAACTTACAAAGAATAAACTGGCAAAATTTAAAAGACATTTTAGTGTCCGAAGAACTAGACTAAACACTAAATGGTTTTCAAATGTCTACTGAGATGATAAATTATGGGTAATTGAGAAAAGTACATGACCTCACGCACCCAGTATCTATTTTCACTGCCCAGAGCGACTTTTATAATGTGGTATTAGGAATGGGGCTGATGTCAGTGTCCCGCCCACTACACACTGCTGTTACCATGGTTACAGCACAGAGGGTAACCACATCACACGGGACAAGGAGGAGCAGACAGTGATGTTTTGATATTAGATCAACCTCCAGAAAAGAAAAAAAAAGAATATGGTTTAAGATGGAGATAGAGGATTTAAACTCATACTGTGGAACATTCCTGGCAAGAAAAATACCAAACACTGTACCCACAAACAGTTACAACTCTGTGGAGAGGCAAGCCCAAGATATTTTTGAGAATGAAAAACACTTTCAGCTTTTACTTTAGTCTATTTAGATACTGAAATATTAAGTAATGGGACTTTAATGCTGTTTTATATTTAACTTGTAAAATCTAAATCCACAATATATAATTATAAGAATAGTAAATACATAAATGAATAGATTGAAAGTTGTTATTTGAAGGATCTTAATTTACACTTAAGGAAGCCAGTGGTTAGAACCAACCATGCCACATAGATTAACACTATAAATTGGACGCTTCTGATCTTTCATTGTGTAAGATTTCTCACACATCCAAGCCTAAGTCATTGTTCTATTTGCATTGTCACATTATGATAAACTGTCCTCCAACGTATCCCACAATGCACCACTCCCTCTGCCCTAATTATTTATCCTATATCCCAGTGACAGGCGACTGGGAGGAAGATTACCGACTGTGGACAGACATCAGTGGGTGCGACATGTTGCTTATATAATGCATTCAATATAGAAAGTTTGCTTATAATACTTAGAAGTATTTAGACAGTTGGCCTGAAGTGAACTGAGAGCCAACACAGTGCTGCACAAGGATGTAGTCTCAAAGTATAAACTGTAAAATAAATTTCCAACGTGGTACCTGGCTTCGACAGTGGCTGTACACTCGGCTGACTGATGTTCCTAAGTTTATTCAAGGACAAGTCTCAGGGGTTTTCCACTCACAATGTGATTTCATAATATTAGAATTTTTAAAGGCACACTATGTAACTTTTCAGTACAAAATTTAACATCTCTAATTGAGTAAATATGCCAATTAGCTATTCTGTGTCAAAAATAGAACAGTACACTTTACAGTAGTTCTAAAATGTAGCCCAAAATACCCAGTCTGGATTTTGGAGGCTAAACAGGGTTGAGCCTGCTTAGTATTTGGATGGGAGACCTTTCCCAGGTGTCACAGTGGAGCAGCAGTGACTATAGTGGAAACTGCTGTTGTGTCCTTAGGCAGGACACTTCATCCACATGAATGAGTGTATGATTGAGTGATTGTGGTCATTAGCAGCTTCTCTTTCATCAGTTTACCTTGGGGGAGCTGTGGTTACGATTAGAGATGCACCGATATTGACACGTATTGAATATCCATGCAAAAGTGAAAAATTTGATGGATTAAGGGTTGGTTAAGCCAAAACCCTAGGTGGGCCTTTAACTGAATCCAAAAAATACTATTTACAGGCTGATTTTGGCCTAGAAGGTTTCATAATGTCTGAACAAAGTCGTTCAGTAGTTATTTGAAGGATAAATACCAGGTGCATAATGCAATTGGATCTCTTATGTAATAGTTCACTTG